TGTTGCTCATAAATTTGCTTTTTACCAAAACCCTTCTTATGCACTCCTTGACCCAACTCAAAGCGCAATAATCGGCTCAAAGCACTTCCTCCCTTCCTTGCTAGGGCTCTAAATCGTTCTATCCTAGGGAAGAAAACGCGCTTCAAGCAAAGTTGCTGCGGTGCTGGTCCCGCTTGCAAAGGGACTTTGATTTCTGCAGGGAATTCGTGTTTTGCTAGATTTTTAAGAACGTATTCGTTCTCTTGGGATCAAATCGATCATCATCTCGTACCGAGGCCTAAGAGAGTAAGAGTCTACAAACACCGAACTTTGCCATATGCATAATACCAACCTGCGGATCAGGCATGGATGTCTGAGTTAGAACGAGGAGTTCCAAGCTCGCTGCACTAAGAAATGCGATTTCTGGTAGGTCCAATTCCTCCGCTTCTTCGGCTGTATACTAACATTGAATAATGCTGAAGTGCAACCTACCGTTTAGGAATTCTCACCGTTAGTTGACGTACTCAGCACAACTGTTGTGTCAAGTGAAGGGTTCAACGGCATCTGGAAAGCAACATATTCTTAGAGCAAAAGTTTTTAAATGGTGAGAAGCAACAAACCGGGCGAAGGCTTGCATCCTCAAACAACATAGTGGCATTGCATGTGGCAGATGCGGACGGAGCTGATCCTTTTCGAGAAGCGCTTCCCCGTAATCGAAGAGGGAGATCTACGTCAAGAGTGACCCATCTTCTTAAATCACAAAAAATCATGTAGCCTAAATCAAACAGAAGTTTAAGCATACGAGTTTGAAGACGATGCACTTGGTTTTGCTGGAGAACCATCGAAAAGGTCTTCCAAAGCTGATGGCTGCCTCTAAACCATACATCTTAGACCTCGCGATTTCATTATTCTCTTGATCAATGAATGTGATTGCTTTCAGCATTTACCTCATAATCTTCTTCTGGACTCATGCTATCCCTCAACTGCGACAGCATGGTTTCCTCAGTAGCTGCATTATCATCTTCATCGCTTCCTTCTTGAGCTTCTTCTTCTTTCGGCTCCTCTTCCGCTACAGCATCTTCAA